TGAACCATACGATCTCTCTTCTTTTTCTTGGGCATTTTCTGATGCTTCTGAAAAATATGAATATTTTTTCTTTTGGATTAAAGTAAATATGAATGAAATTAAGATTCACTAAACATCGGTTTTCTCTTCTTTTTTTTTTTTTGTTGGGGTTGGGGGGGAGGGGTTTACTTGTGAAAAAAAGAAAAGAAAATCATTATGCAGTTTGGTTCCCATTAGCCGAGGTTGTTTGGGGAAAATGCAAAATGAATCCAAACAAAAAAGTGACGAGAAAAGAAAAGAAAGGAATATGACAAAGAAGAGGAAAAGTTGATTTTATTACCGTCAAGGCTATCCTTGTTTCTGGACTGACAAAGAGTGAGTATTGTGGCCTATTAAAACAACATAAATTTAGTATTCAAAACTCAACATTCATGGGTTATTATCGCATTAAAAACTCGAGGAACATTCCAGCAATTTTTGATCACATCTATAACTGGTCGGGCACAGCTCATGACTGCTGTAACAAGTTCTATGTTGTCTAAATTATCTATTGGTTTCTTTAGGTTTCAAGCAATAATTAGTTAAGTGACCTAAGTAACCTTTCCCGGACCATGTAAGCTGGAAAAGGCCAATAAATCAAGGGAAGGTTTCGGAGAAACAACATAATCACATCTTTTAATTTCCATTATAGCTCTTTCTACTTATTAGGGCGCATTTTTTCTGAGTCATATAACAGTTAAACTGTTGCAAAATTGCTTAAAATTGCCAGTTTCTGGCCAATGAATCACATGTTTACAAGTCATTACCTCCATCCAAGTGATTTTTGGAAAAATCAAATATTGCTTAAAATTTTCGGTCCGTCCTCTCTACTTCTCTTCTCTATTAACCTGTTCAATTCAGATATCCCTTCTCTTTTCTCTATCTCTTAGTGTCTATATACATAAATATGTTTATTGAGAGTGCCAGGACCTACCCCTACCTTGAAACAGTCGTATAGTTCTGATCTACGGGGGGTGAATAGGTCTATAGCACTCAATGCGGAAAATATGCCCAATTCAAATATCGCCTAAAATTTAAACCTGCATACCAAATAGCTCGAATATGCTTAAACAAATATCAACAAGTTCAATAAAAAATTGCAAGTAAAGAATATGCAAACCAGACCACAAGTAATTTTTATGTGGAAAANCGATAAAAAATTGCAAGTAAAGCAAGTAAAGAATATGCAAACCAGACCACAAGTAATTTTTATGTGGAAAACCCAAACACGAAAAAAACCATGGATCCTTGCCCAACCAACAAATCCACTAAAGTTTCAAGTAGGTTACAAGACTCTAAAGACTCATTAATTTTACCAAGTCTCTATGATTAGACTCTTTCTTCGTCTTGAACAAGGGTCTCAACTCCACAGCAAGTTTTTAGAANGACTCTAAAGACTCATTAATTTTACCAAGTCTCTATGGTTAGACTCTTTCTTCGTCTTGAACAAGGGTCTCAACTCCACAGCAAGTTTTTAGAANCAATAAAAAATTGCAAGTAAAGAATATGCAAACCAGACCACAAGTAATTTTTATGTGGAAAACCCAAACACGAAAAAAACCATGGATCCTTGCCCAACCAACAAATCCACTAAAGTTTCAAGTAGGTTACAAACAAGGATCAAAATTTCGTTTCGAAGTACCGTTTCGGTCAACTCAAAAATAGAAACGTTTCGGAAACATTTCGGAAACGCAGAAAAAATATGGAAACGCATAGAAACACAAATGCAATCCATTAATTTATAAAGATATGCTAAATAATTTATTAATTCAACATATTTATTAGGTTAACATCAATTTATACAAGAATAAATTTAAATTTGAGGGAAAAAAAGGCTTGACTTGAGGCGAAAGTCACTTAAATTAGTTTCAAACACTTAATTTTTATGAAATAAACACATTTTTACATAATATTAAGGTCTTATAATACACATGAAATGCTAATGAGTACATACTTACATG